TGGTTCACCACCAATGAACCATCAGACCCTGGTTTACGTACTGTAAATACTTGAGTATAAGCCGAGGCACCTACTTTTACCACAAAAATTGCATACAAAAAAAGAGCTGTAAGAGCCCCAATAAAATTATTTTTAAAAGGGAAAAAAAACTGCATACAAAATGTACTGAAAAACTCGGCTTATACACGAGGATATACGGTAATTACACAGCCCCTAAGACAACCCCTTCTCCCCATTCCCAACCCCAATTGCCGGTAATACCCTTTTTAGTCGATTATCTGACCCCAAAGAAGACATAATGAAAAACCACTACTTGTCAGAATATACTCATACGTGTGACTTAGCTTTGCTCTGAAATAAAATATATTCAAGTAGTTGGAATGACCCAAATTAGTGAATTCCATCTCCTATTCAATTCCACATAGAAACCCAGGGTTCACAGAGAGATTTAAAATGCTTCCACTTTTGCATCCCTATTCTCTACAAACAGCCAACGTGATTCTTTGAAAATACAAGTCAGGCCGCATCTTTGACCCAAAAATGCCTTGCAATCATGCTTGCAAGAAAATCCAAAATCTTCATCCATGGTCCACAAGAAGCAACCAGATTCACTGTCCATACTTCTTTGACTTTGTGTGTCATCACTCCTCTGCAGGTCACTTAAGCGAAGGGGCTCCTGGCTGTTCCACAACAAATCTTAGGGACCGATTCTACACTGGTCTGGACTGCTCTCCCCTAAGCACCTGCCCTGGCCTGCTCCCCCACACTCCACTTCCCTGGTCATAGTAGATTTTGTAGATCCATTTCACTACCACCGCTGCTGCCTTACCTGGCCAGAGCGCAGAAGGCTCTTCTGCTCACTGCGGCATCCCCAGGGTTTACAACAGTGCCTAGCACATAGGACTTGGGGCTTGAATTAATGAATGAGTGGGTTTCCCAATAGCACTTTCCATGTCACTGCATCAGGTCCTAGGATCTAGGAATAGATAACTAATAGGACTCTAGCCTTTTCACTGGAGGAACTTAACATCTAAAAGACTGGAATTCAATCTAATCTCAATGTGTTGGAAGTAAACTGTGGGGTGGAGTGGCTAGAAGTGCCGTAGGACGGAGTGGGGTCAGATGATGGAGGGCTGGAGCTACCTGGTGAGGAGCTGGGCCTCCTGGGGCACCCTCGCTGTGCTGTGCTAAGGAGGAGAAATGGACAAGGAGAGGGACCTGAAATGAGAACTGTCAGAATCCATGGAACTTCGTGACTATTTGTGTGTGTGTGTGTGGGGGTGGGGTGGGGGGGGTGGCGGTCAAACACCAAAACCAAACCCTGAGGGGTTATCCTACCCTGGATTTATATAAGTTGAATCTCAGGGCCTACGGTCACCAGATCAGGTCATATGGTAACACACAGGTGCCCCGTGTTGGCCACGCAGGAAAATTCCTTATGTCTTCAGGCTTTTCTCAACTTTGTGAGTTTCATGTACGCTTTATCATGCTTTCTTAAGACGAGGGATACCTGGTTTTGCAGTGAAGTCTGACACAAATGCAGAGCTTTCCCAGGAATGTTTCCTAGTCAGTGGCTTGGAAGTCCAATTCTAAATGGGGAGACAACATTATTTACAATGTTAAAAACCAAAAAAGTTCTCAAGGACAAGCATTCCGGCTGCATTCCACTTCTCGATGTTATGGACGGCCCGTGTGCATAGATGTACATATTGTCGTGTATACATGCCGACGTGAGGCGTCGAGGTCAAGAATGGAAGTAGGTCAAAATAAAGCACAAAAAACCCCCAAAAACCCTACAGCTTACGCTTAACAGTTCGGACAGTCGTATGTTACAACATAAGGGGATACCCAAACGTTACAATGCCACAAATTCACCAACAAGGTTTTCTAGAATCTCAAATGTTTGGCTAAAGGTTTTCTTGTTAGGGGTTTTTTAGCCAAATTCCAATGATCTCATTTCTTGAAGAATTCACCCTCTATATTTTCAGTCTGTGCTTCATCTTAAAAAGGTAGAAGATACAGAGAAAAAAGTTTGGACTGATCCCCGCCCACAGCCTCCCTTGGTAGAGTCTGGGGCTGTGGAAAGGAACCCAAGCTGCCCCTTTGGGAAATACTGTCCCCAAAGGCTTCATATTGTGTGACCTGTGCTGCTGGGCGGTCAACAACCTGGAGGGGAGGGGTCAAGTCTCAGAAGCAGTGAACACGAAAAAAGTGAGAGACGCTAAAGCGCCAATGGAGAGAGTTTCCCATACCTGTGAGGATCTATTTCTCCACAACGGCGGATAAATAAAAACTGCTATGGTACAAAAGCCACCTCACCAGAAACAAGGGGTCTCTCTGACACGACACAGCGTCCCTGTGCTCAGAGCGGCAGCGCAAGTGACTTCATAAATAGCCACTGCTTGCCTGTGTGCTCTCTACTTTCTCCCTGAGTCTTCCATGTGTGCTCTGCCACAGGCGTGGAGAGAGGGAACAGGAAGGGCGATGGGAAATCAGAAAATGTGCCCCAGGGCCACCAAGGACATGGAGGACGCTCAGGGTTATCCCATGCCCCTGTCCCCTGCGGTGGAATGCTCAGACGGAACTTACATTAATCTCGAGTTAGATATATTCTGGAGAAAAACACAAAAAACCCACTCTAAAACTAGTAATGTCCGAGCACCATGGGTGCATTCAATTATGTCAGACTCAGATGAGACCTCACTTCACAGGATAAGAGAAAACACCTAAACTCTGGGGTCCTTCTTTCACGCAAGAGAAAACCAAGACTCCCGGGATGCTGGTGAGATCGGCCCTCATCACCCAGCATGGTAGGGCAGAACCCAGGCCGACAGGGTCAATTTTATCCAAGGCCACCAACCATCTGGTTTACTGCTGGCCAACTGTTTAAGCATTTAACTAATGCAGCACTGGTAATGACCCCCACTGAAACATGAAATTCGAAGGCTTAAAGGAAAACAGACTTGAGCAAAATTCCCTAGTAGGAGAAATACACAAAGCAGCACCCTGCACAGACAGTAGCCCTGTGACCAGGGCACATCCTCAGAGCAGGAATAAAACTGCCCACCAAGTCGCTCTTCGCTCAGAGATTGGGGCTCATAGACAGTATGGCTTACTTAAAAATTATATTCCAGAGGAGGAGAAAATGGGCTTGCACGTCAAATACTGCTGAGAAAAACCAGATGACAAACTCACATAAACAAAACAACAAAGAAACATCAGGACAAAATTCTAGGAAGCACAATTTCAGTTGACTTGTGGGAAAATTATTGGCATTTCTTTTTTTCCGGTGGGCTTTAAGGAATGAAAGATTATATGGAACCAATTAAAACTGATACTGGGCTGCAGTTTGGCAGCCGAAAGATGCGTGGAGTAAATGCTGAGCATTCCACGTTTCTAAAGTTTATTTCATCTTATTTAGCTACAAACAAAAACAGTCTTCCACCAAAACAAGTACAGCCCAGACCATCGTTCCTATTTCCAATTTATCATGAATGCTAACAAAAAATGAGTCCCTGAACACTGCCCACTTAAACAACTTCTTTTTCACAAATTACAATCCTCCTTCCTTGGCAAATACCCAGGAACCGCTTTAATTTCCATTTGCAGACTTATGATAGGAAAAAACCACAAAACCAAACCCAAACCACTAAGGCCTTATGACACATGCCGGGGAAAACAATCCTATCTGTCAAAATGTTCAGTCTGAGTTCTCAGTAAGCATTTTGTTTTCATGATTTAAGATGATTCCTTTAACATTCACAAGGTGGGTCATGCAATAGTCCCACTCGAGAGACACTTATTTCCTGAACACATGAATTTGTAACCCCTGTACATGTATGAGATAAAAATGTTCTGCTGATGGGAAAACCAGGCACCCAATGATCAGGATCATACAGGTTAGTAGCTTGCTGCAGGCAATCAGCCCACGGGAAAGAGTCTTTGTTGGATGTCAAACTCAACCAAACTCGCTGCCATCGAGTCGATTCTGACCCACAGTGACTTTATAGGACAAGGTAGAACTCCTCCTTTCTCCCATGGGTTGGTTGGTGGGTTTGAACCACCAACCATGTGGTTAGCGGCATCACGAATAACCCACTAGGCCACCAGAGCTCCTTGAGTATATATCAAGCCAGTTGGGTCAACGTGAAACTAAAACGAGGTGCCTATTCAAAACCTTGAGAACATGGGTAGAATAGTCACCTGATACGTTCAGTGCTATAGGTGGAAATCTGCAGGTTAGTCCACAGTCCAGCTGCCTGAAGGGAGCCATATCTCGAGGAGATTATGTTTCCAATAACCCAACGTACTCTGGAATAGCTATTCTGAAACCTAAGTGTGAAGTATCTTTAGACAGGTTTTGCTAAGGTTCCAGTGCCTGACTGTGAGTGGGGGAAAGCTACACAGCCCTTTAGAGTGCTTCAGGACAAGAATGACTCTTCTCTGATGGGTAAATAATGAAAGCCAGCCTGGGTGTCTGTCTATGGTCCAAGAGTCTGTACTCTTTGAAGGTGCCCAGAGACTTTCACTCCTGCTGACAAAAGAAGTGCATCCTCTTTGAAGAGCCTATCTATCATTCTGCAGGACGCCCACCAACAGAATTAACCAGCAACATTGAAACGCAAAAAAACTCGCTGCCATGGATTCGATCCCAACTCAGAGGACCCTGCAGGACAGAGCACAACCGCCCTGGTGGGTTTCCGCAGAAAGCCTCCTATTCCTCCCATGGAAAGTGGTAGGTTTGAACTACTGACCTTGTGACTAGAAGCTCAATGGGTAGCCCACTATGTATGGCCCTGAGCTTCCTAACACACAACATAGCACTCTCTTAAAGTTAGCTTTAGTAAGTTCAACAGGATACATGTTTAAAAAAATTTTTTTAAGTAATACTATGCTTTGAGTCCCACTGCTTGGCAAATTTCACTTCCAAATAAAAATGAAAACATATGAAAACCCCACCCCACATTCAATTGAATCTGTGCGTCTTGTGCTTTACTTACTTGTATTTTAAGAGCAGCCACTGAATTAACCAGAGTCCTACAAGGATCATGCCATTAATTTCACAAATAGAAAAGGCCCACTGCACCCGGTTAAAATGGTCAAAAAATGTGTCCGGGAGTGGAGGCTGCACCTCCTTGGGAGGTACTCGTTCATGGACGACCGAGATCATCACTGTGGTGAGAACAAAACAGAAAAGTGCATACACAAAGGCCAGCAAAGTCTTGCCCCATTCCATGGGGTACTGGGAGCGCTCTGGCTCTGGCATGGGGATCCTGATCATTTCCTTTCTAAACCCGTTTGGCATCCCGTTGGGTTTGACCTTGATGTTGAAGCTGCTGCTAGGGGTGGGGACGTCGGTGTCGATGCTGAGGTGCCCGTTGGCATGGCCGTTCTTGTGTGCTTCCATGTGGTGCTCCATTTTCAGGGTCTCTACCATGTCCAAGAGCCGCTGCCCGTTGTCAGAGGAGACTCGGCACAAGGGGGGCTTTTTGAAATCCTCTTGGGTTAGGTTGATCAAGTCCCGGCCTGTGAAATGTTCAAGAGGCTCACAGTATTCTGGCATCGCATTCTCCAACAGCCAGTCAGCCACCTTCTTGGGTGACCAATAAACCACCTCCTTCATTGTACTGGCAGACACCGTGCGGTCTCCAGCTGGCTCTCGGCAGGTCAGCAGTCACTGTTCCTACAGGGCAGGATGCTGTCCCTCCTTGGCTCATTCATCCTGGCCGGCCTCGGGAGCAGAGATTTGTTTGGCAAGATGGTCAGGGCAGTTTTTAAACACTTCATCTAGCTGTCCAGAGCATTAAGTCACCTCATTGTTGAATCAGAGTCTTCTTTCTGTGGAGGCAAGAGACAGTGTCATGATAATGGAATTTCTAAATCATCCCCCCCACCCAGCGCCCGTGTAAATAGAAAATCTGGTCATGCGTGAGGACAATGGCAAGTCTGCCTAATGTACCATTCTATCTGATGTGCACAACACATAATTGATGGCATCGAAGAGAATCAGAGGGATGATGGGCTTGAACGTCATCTGGGTCCATTTGGGGTTGTTGTTAAAAAACGAAACCCAGCAACTTCCCCCTTTTTCTATTGTGCTTGGGCTTCCAGCTACACGAGGGGTGGGAAAAGCAGCTGCTGGGGTTGAAGCACAGCTGGAGTGAAGGGCCGGCGTCCTGCCTGCTCTCAGTCTTTCTCCCCAAGGAAGCCTGCAGTTTGAAAATCAGAGAGCCGATCAGACCCCCCATTTATATACACCAGGACAGAGCAAGGAGCTTGCAAGAAGCAAGGAGCTTCTTTGGATGAGTTATAGTTGAGCCGAGTCCCAGTTCACTGGGTTGAGCTATTAAAACCACTAACCAGCTAGGTGGCAGTACCTGAAATGAACATCTGTAGCGGAGAGTGAACATCAGAATTCAAAAATTTCTAAATTCATGTATGAATACATGCATATAGTCTATATACATAGCATGTACATTATAATTACAACTATGGTTAATGAATATCTCCATGTATACAATTACTGGAATGAAATATGTATCAAATATTAACGCAAGTTATAGTTGCTAGGCCGAGGGATGTTTATTTTTCACTTTTCTCCCACCTAGTTTTCTTTCAAGGCGCCCTGGTGGCATAGTGGTTAGCGCTCCCCTGCTAACTGAAAGGTAGAGGCTACATATTGCTCCACAGGAGAAAGATGAGGCTGTCTACTTCTACACAGGGCACAGTGTTAGAAACCCTGTGGGTCAGTTCTACTGTCATTTAGGGTCACTATGAGTTGGAATCAACTCAATGGCAAGAGGTTTTCAGGTTTATTTTTCCTTCAGATGGATGTATTAAGTTTACTATTTAAAATAAAAAACAAACAAACAAAAAACAGGTTAAAAATAATTGGCCTAACTCTCTGACAGCACATCACAGCTCATGAAAGCATGCATGTCTTTGGCTCGAGTATCTTCCATGCATAATCCAAATAGGTACTTAAGTTTATTTATCTCTGAAACTGGGATAATCAAAACTTTACTCAGAAACTTCATGTGAAACTGATGTTAACAATCTCACTAAAAAATAGTGGAATATCTCACCAAAAGTTCGTGGAAAAATTCCATTATCTTTTAACCCCATTTCTCCATGAATGTTTTGAAATCTCTCATTGTGCTTTTCAAAAGGGTCTATTATTAGTTCTTATCCCCTCCCTTTCCCTCACCCCCTCAAATCTCCTAAGCTATTCAACAGCCATTTCTCACTGCCAATGCTGGCTGAGACGCCCTGCCTACCAGCAGGCTATCTTTGTGTCCAAGGATGACTGCTGCGTCTAATTCGCCCGATGTGTAGGTTTCGAGAGCTGGGCAAAACTGGTGCCAGTGTTACCCTAAGAGTGTTGTGGAATAGTAATGCAACAGAAGGCTGCATGCCCTTAAAAATTATATTCTATGTCTGTGTAAGTCTAGAAACTGTCATCTTTGGCATCATTAGCATGTTAAAATCTCCAGGAAACCCTCCAGTAACTCGAATTACCACCATATGGAACACATTGAGAAGGAATGACCCCAAAGGTCCAGAGGCTTTCAGCTAGCAGCTGGCACAAACAAGACGTGAGACCGGGACTTCTGGTTTCCAAGTCCAAACTCATCTCTACTGCAGCTCAAAAATTGGACTCTGGAATGAGGCGGGTAAGTTAGTTCCAAAGATAGTCCCAACCGCGCAAACAAAGAGTCGGTGGCTCCTTTTCTAAACTCCACAGAGCGGACCTGCCTTCCTCACTCACTCTGTTGCAGTTGAGTGTCAGCCTAGACTCTCAACCTAAGAACCTACGAGCATGTGTAGCTCACATCCCCAGGGCTCAGAAGAAATCCAATCAATATCTCCTCTAGTTTTTCAGAAAGGATCCCTTAAAACTAGGCAACATGGAAATGGTTGAATGAAAAACAAACCTACTGAAATTACCTTTGAAAACAATCCAAATGGTCTAGGAGTATTCTCCGGAGAGAAGTCTATAACCTCAATGAGTCTCCGACCATTTGAAACCATTGCAGAGAAACTTCCATTGCCACTAGTAGTGACTGCAGAACAGGCAGAAGACCTGGCCCAGATGGGAATCCTGGCAGAAGGGCCGACAGGTAGGGATCTCCCGGCACCCTGCCCAAGGCCTCTCCTCAAACACTCCATTAGACAACAGTCAAGGGAATCCCCGTGCCTCTAAGTGACTAGGTGAACTGTAAAAACAATGCTCAGTAGGATATCCGAGCCCAGGGGAAATGAACACAGAACGGCTTTTCTCATCAGGTTCTTCCTCCTTCCCCTGTCCAACCAGGAAGTCCAGTTGCTCAGTCTGCACCGCCTGCCAGAAAGGAAACGGCCTCCGAACCACAGAGGCCAGGCCACATCCCAGACACCACTGCACTTCCCGCTAATGGGAGTAGCAGCTTGATAACAGACCAAACCCACTGCCATCAAGATGATGCTGACTCACAGGGCCACTACTGTACAGGGCTTCTCAGACTGTAAATCTTTTTTTTTAATTTATGAATCATTTTATTGAGGGCTCTTCCGGCTCCGACAACAATCCACACATCAATTGTATCAATCACATTGATACATAAGTTGGCATCATCAATTTCAAAATATTTTCTTTCTGTTTAAGCCCTTGGTATCAGCTCCTCTTCCCCCCCACCTCCCACCCTTATGGACCTCTGATAAATTAGAAATTATTATTTTCATATCTTACACTACCCGCTGTCTCCTTTCGTCTGTGTCACAGTTGTTCATCTCCCGGGGGACGGGGGACGGGGGGCGGGGAGAGGTGACATATGTCATTGTAGTTGGTTCCCCATTTCTCCCTACCTTCATGATATTGCAACTCCCACTGCTGTTCCTGAGGGGTTTATCTGTCCTAGATTCCGAGAGCTCTTATCGGTACCGGTGTACATGCTGCAGTCTAGCTGGATTTGTAAGGTGGAACTGGGGTCATGATAGTGGGGAGGAGGAAGTATTAAAGAACTAGAGGAATGTTCTGTGTTCCCTGTGTGCTGTGCTGCACCCTGGCTGTCTTGTTCTTTCCTTGTGACCCTTCTGTGAGGGAACATCCAATTATCTACAGATGGGGTTTGGGTCTACACTCTGACCCCCATTATTTATATCAATATATTTGTTTGGGGTCTTCTGATGCCTGATACCTAATCTGGTTGACACCTCATGATCACACACCCTGATGTGCTTCGTCTACGTGGGCTTCGTTGCTTCCCTGCTACATAGCCGCTTGTGTAGCACCCAGACTGTCAATCTTTTAACAGAGCAGGTAGCCTCAGATTTTTCCTTCAGACAAATGGTGAGTTTGAACACCTGACCTGGGAGTTAGCAGTCCAGCGCCTGAGCCACAGCGCAAACAAGGATAATATTTTATGAAGTAGGTGGGCAGTGGGGGAGACAATGGAAACCCCAAACCCAAGCCCACTGCCCTCCAGTTGATTTTGACTCATGGTAACGCTACAGGAGAGAGTAGACCTGCCCACTCGGGTCTCTCAGGTGGCCAGTCTTGACAGAGCAGAGTCCGTCTCTTTCTCCTGCAGAATGGCTGGTAGGGTTCAAAGCACCAACCTTTTCGTAAGCAATCCAACCCTTAAGCCCCACAACAGAGGGCCCTCAAGCAGTGGTGGTCCGTTCTGAAGCCATCTACCATCGAATCTTCCCATATTTTAGGAAAGAAACACACGCTTCTCTCAAATTGAAATGCATCTTTTCGCAGCTATTTGGTAGCTAATACCTAAATTGTCCGCAGTAATTAAGGCCACAGAGAGCAAGACCCAACTGCCCGCCTTAGATCCCGCCTCTGCCTTAGCCCCCATGGCGTCTGCTGTGAAACCCATCTGCAGGGAGATGAACAGGGTTGGCGGCAGAATAGTGCTTGAAAGGGTGATGATGCTGCTAAGCCAAAGTTGGGTGATTCAACCCCAACTGGAGAATGATGTGGCAGTCTGCTTCTCTGGAGAGTACAGCCTTGGACACCCCAAGAGCCACTTATGTCCTTTAGGGTCATGACGAGTCAATCGACTAGATGGCAGGGGCAGCAGGATTAGACTTGGCCTCTCTGTCCCCTCTCTCTCCAGCCCACTTCCTACTTCCCTCGCTGCACTCTTAAAACACACATGCAGGGGGAGGGAGGGACAAACGAGGAGCGGATACCAAGGGCTTATGTAGAAAGAAAGTTCTTTGAAACTCATGGTGGCAGCATATGCACAAATATGACTGATACGATTGATGTATGGATTGTTACAAGAGCTGTAAGAGCTCCCAACAAAACAATTAAAACACATAAAGTACCATGGATTGTGAAAACTCACCCACACCAAACCCAAACTCACTGCCATTGAGTTGATTCTCAGTCACAGGGACACTACACGGGGTTTCTGAGGCTGTGAACCTTCATGGGAGCAGACAGCCGCCCTTGGTCGCATGCCTAACTCACAGCACCACTGGGCTTTATCACACCCTCTCAAAACTCACTGCCCTTGAGTGGAACCTGGTCCACAGTGATTCCCGGGACTTCACACCTTCCTGGAAGCAAAGTGCCTCCCTTTTTCTCAGCAGAATGGCTGGTGGTTGAGATCTGTTGACCTTGGGGCTAGCACTTCAGTGCCTGGCCTGTCATGTCACATCACCCCAGCCTCCTGTTCTTCAGGGGCCTGTGCATTGGCCATTACAGGCATCTCCTGCTGTTTAAAAGTTGTCTTAGGAAAGACCTACCTTGGATTGGTTTTGCTAACCAAAGAATCCGAAGAGAAGCTATACTTTTATGGGAAAATGGTGAAAGGCAACACAAACATTTAGCTCCCCTTCTG